AATCATAGCCAGGATCTGAGAAAACCCCTTCGCCACTAGTCGTGCCTTGTAGCGATGGACAGTGCCATCAGGATTTTTCTTAACCTTAAAGAGCCACTTACAGCCTATCAACTTCCTTCCTTCAGGTGGCTTGGTTAGTTCCCAAGTCCCATTGCGTTGTAACGCACTGTATTCTTCAAGAACAACAGTCTTCTATTCTGGAGACTTAAGTGCCTCATGTACACTGCATGGAACATCATCAACAACAGTTCCTAGGTAAGTTTTGGGTTTATACACACCGCATTTACTTTGAGTCATCATTGGGTGGTTATTGGCCTGAGCAACCTCATTTTCAGTGCCATCATTTACTACTGGATTTTGTACTTCATCTTTAGTGTCATCGAGAGAGTTATGCACATTTTGTTCAGAACATAACTCATCTTGATAACCTTCATGAGTATCATCAGCAGGAACCGCAGGGGCAATCACAGCTTCCAACTCATCTTAACTGGTAATTGGGCTTTGTGGACTGCTTACTGAGCTGCTCCTGGTAGCACTTAAAGACAGTCTGTTATGATCAGCTCGTGGAGGCTCTAATCTGGTGACATTAGTGACCAGTTTGAGCAACCGAGAGGTGTTCCCAATTGGAGTGGTAAGCGAGGCTCCATCAGAGTTTCCTGCAAAAGGAAAGACACTTTCATTAAAGACAACATGTCTGGAAATATAGATTCACCTATTGCTTGCCATGCACTGAAAACCTTTGTGTTACGCGTTGTATCCCAAGAATGTACATGGCTGGGATCGAAACTCTAACTTGTGTTGTAGAAACGGTCTTAAGTATGGGAAGCACTTGCACCCAAACATTCGCAGGCTACTGTAGTCTGGTGGCTTGCCATATAGCATCTCAAACGGTGACTTGTGCAAAAGCACTTTTGAAGGAAGCCTGTTTACAAGATATGCAGTGGTTTGAATGGCATAGGACCAGTACTTGATAGGCATGGATGCTTGTGCAAGTAACACCAAGGCCATCTCGACAAGATGTTTGTGCTTTCGTTCCACTACTCCGTTCTGCTCGGACGTGTAGGGACAGGTGACGTGGTGAACCACACCCGCTTTGCTCAGCTCATTGGTCAAGAGTCGAAATTCACCTCCCCAGTCAGTTTGGAGAGCTTTGACTGACACACCAAATTGTGTGGCAATCAACTTTTGAAATAGATTGAATGCAATTAAGGCTTCATCCTTTGTCCTCAGAAGATACAGCCATGTGAACCGTGTGGCAGCATCAACAAATGAAATATAGAATCTAAAGCCATTGGATGAGACATGTGGAGGTCCCCACAAATCTGAATAAACGAGTTCAAACGGTTTGTCATAAACACTGTCCGAGCAAGGAAATGGTAACTTGTGGCTTTTACCAAGATGGCAAGCAATGCAGTTTTTATTAATATCATCTAATGCTTTTACATTGAATTGTTTACACACTTTAGCAAGTGTGTCATGAGCTGGATGGCCCAGTCTTCTGTTCCATATTTCTGAGATTGTAGAGGAAGCTATCGCAGTTTGTGCTTTAACTACACTGTTTTGGCATTGATGTCTACTTGCTTTGAACGTATATAATCCATTGCACTCTTCTCCTTACAGCAAAACCATCTTGGAGGCCTCATCTCGAACATAACATGTCTTTGCATGAAATTCGAGGAACACACTGTTTTCCTTAGCAAGCTTAGAAACAGAAAGTAAGTTTTTCGTTATTGATGGAACATGCAAAATGTTGCTTAAGGCCAAAGTTCTAGAAGAAGTATTCAACTCAGCCTTACCAACCAAGTGAACTGGTAGGTAGTCTCCACTTCCTACGATCAACTTACCAGGATTAGCATAGCTCGAGTGAGGCGTTAAGGAGGCTTCATTGGGCGTGACATGGTGTGTAGCACCAGAATCAATTATCCACTGATCATGGCCAGCAGATACTACATGATCTTGGCTTTTCGTAGTACTCATGTTGTCACCACGATTTGCGCTGCTATGATTACAACAAGCACAAGTGCTTTCATTGTTACTGGTTGCAGTATAGTATGCTCTAGAGGAGTCAGAGCCAGCCGTGTGATCATCAATCGAAATACCAGAAAAGTCTTCATCGAACCTGTGCCAACATTGGCTTACTAGATGACCAATTTTGCCACACAGTTGGCATTGAACTCTCGATCGTGTCCTGCCTCTGCCACGAGACCTACCACGCGAGTAGGACGAGTGATTCGACCGAGACTGCTGCTTTTCTTGGTTTTTGTATGATTCAACCTTGCCTTTTCCTTGTGCAAGATTGGCACTAACAGGTAAGGAGTCAGGTTGATAATCAAAGCCTTCAAGCTGAGTTTCAGCGTCAATAAGCATTGTGCATATATTGTCGAGTGACAGAGTGTCACACATAGCAGATATAACCGCGATAAAGGGTTGGTACTCCCTTGTGAGGCCCTTGAGAATACTCGCAATGTGCTCAGATGCTGCCACTGGGCTTCCACAAGAGTACAAGGCATCAGTGACTTCTTTCACTTTTGTGAGATAAGATCGCATGCTATCTCCTCTTTTCTTGAGGGATTGGAGCATGTAGTGTAGGCTCATGACTGCAGTGGTAGAGCGATTGACAAAGAATTGAAAGACCTTGTTCCATACCTGGGCAGACGTTTCGGCACCAACAAACTGTGGAAGAAGATGAGGGCTAATTGTTGAAAGCAGCCAAGAAGCTAATGCACTATCTTGAGCCAAGAATTCTTCATGTTCTTCATTGGCGGTTACAACTCCATCTTCACCAACCACTATTTCTGGAGGTGGGAGCATCGTACCATTAAGCATTCTTTCAAGGCGATGGCTTCTTGCAGTGAGCAGAATCTGTTGTTTCCACGACAGAAAATTAGTTTCATCAAACACGACGTTCACTCTTTTATTGGTGAAGACTTTAGTGTTCCTTGACGAGAACTCCATTGAAGTGGCTGTAGGCGAGGTACTGTGATCCATGGAAAAGGAACAGCGGAAGCACACCCTAGGATATATCAGCGAATGATACCATGTTGAGAGAGCTCAACAACCGTGAGAAAGAGGATAAAGCTGGTGACAGGTAATACTCTCTTATATTTATTCTTTCAATCTTACATGACTTATATAGCTAGCAAATTACAAAGTTCAACAAGAATGTAGAGACTAACTGAACTACAACTGCTCTAACAAAATTATAACTGCTTAACAGCAATAACCGACTGTTGTAACTACACAGACAGTGATCAGTTGCACACTGGACCAGAACGTTCCACAAACGTTAGAAGAAGCTGCTATGAACAAGTGGACCAGTGAATGCTAGTCACCATACTTCAACAGTCATCAGGTCCAATTATTTCTTCAACCGACTTACATTCATCTATTGCCAGAGTTTCTAGCTTTTTCAAGTCTTTTCACCATACTAAAAGGTAAAATATTTGAAAGTATTTCAGTCCTTCACCCAGAGGAAGGTCAATTCATTAAATGAATTCATAGTGGCTTTATCGTGCCATATCTTTCTGCACTTCCCAATGCCTTCAATCATTGTTTTGAAAACCGGACCGGATCGGCCGGTTCAACCGGTTCAACCGGGAATCGTTGTCTAGTCCGGTTCAAACTAAATCGGTTGAACCGCTACTAGTGAACCGGCCAGAACCGTTGAACCGCTACTAGTGAACCGGCCAGAACCGTTGAACCTTTATAACCAGACCGGCTGAAAACCGGGAAAAACCGGGAAAAACCGGAAAAAACGGAAAAAACCGCCAATTTTGTTTTTTTTTTAAAAAAAATTAAACCAAACGACGTCGTTTGTTAAACGAGCCAAGTCGAACTAGATTATTGCTGAGCTCGACTCAAACTTTAAAAGTAAGCTCAACTCGACTCAAACTCACGAACTAAAAATTATCAAGTTCAACTCGAACTCGAAATATAATATTGAAACTTAAACTCGAAAAGGCTTGAACTAAAAAAAATTTAAAAGCTCGATTGAAGCCTAAAATTCGAGCTTGATTGAAGTGAAAGAATAGTTCAATCTATGCTCACCAAAAGGCTCCATGATTTTGAATGTCAAATTACCTCTATTATTTATAGAAGTTAGTTGGGATGCTCTTCTATGTTTCTTAGCCATGTGGGATTGTTTTGTTCTCATATTTTTACTCTTTAGACTTTTGGGATGTTCTTCTATGTTTCTTAGCCATGTGAGATTGTTTTTTTAAAAAAATTAAACCAAACAATATTATTTTGTTATGATTTTTTTAGCCCCAAATTTATTTTTTAATTATAGTTATATAATTATATTTATTATTTAATATGTTTTACCTTAAATATTATGTTGTAGTTAATTTGAATCATTTTGTTTCACTTGATTTTATGGTTTTTAACTCATATATGTTATGACTTGCTTTGAATATGACTTGTGATATACAAAATTATTTTTTATTAAATATTTTTGGTATTTTTATTTAATTTTTTAAATAATTATGACGTCGTCAAATTCTTCCGACCAATTGAATCGGTTCGATCGGTTGAACCAGTGAACCGATAGCATGACCGGTTCACTAACCGGTCCGATTCTGAAAACCATGCCTTCAATGGTCAAATGGATCAAGTTAGGGAACACAACCTGCGTAAATTATGTAAGTTAATAAATAATTTGTAGAGGATATATATATATTTTTTATAGAAGTAGGAGGATTCATTAAAACCCTTCATAGTTGCCTCTTTTCACAATAGAAAGTAGTAGTTAGCGGAAGGAGAAAAAGAGTACCTCAATTTGTAGACAATATAAAAGGATAAAAAAAACAAAGAAAATCACCTCTTGGGTTGGTGAATCAGTCTCTGAGTTTTCTCCATGACAGAATGCCCCTAATTTTGGAAGCTTAATGAGCTCCAATAGATTTAGTTTAGTGAACCAGTAAGCCTCAGTTATCCCTTCTTCTTCTGCTGTTGCTTCACCTGTAAAGATCACTTCTTCTAAGTTGTCGCAATCGAAAAGGCTAAGTTGAGCGAGTCCCAACAAAATTTTGATTAAAAAGGATGGAACTATATATTCCAAATTGTGGCAACCCTTCACAACTAGCGATGTCAACTTATGAACACTAGAGGATATAGCACTGTGTTGTTCATCTGGCCATAAATTTTGGATGTTAGTGGACGATAGCTCCAACCCTTCCAAATTGGCACACAAAACCTGCAACCACAGCAGGAAACAAAACAATTTAAACTATAAAGTAATTAATTTTTTAAAAAGGTTCAATTCAAGGAACTGAGTTTTAATTAATTACTGGCATACTTATATCTTAAAGCCCATACCCTGGGATAATTTTCTTTCTATTTAAAAAAAAACTAGAAATTAAAATAGTGATTTGACTACACAATTTTCAAAATGCTAATTCCAAACTTATCCCAAATCAATTTAAGAGATTAAAACACTAAACGGAAAAGAAGAGAAGAGAAGAGAAGAGAGTGACATTATCATTGAAAAAGGGTGTGTTTTCGCCATCTCTTGTACATGTCATTGCATACATCTTTGGACAATCATCTACTTTAATTGTATGCAATGATGGACATTGCAGAGTTATATTTCCCATGCAAAAACTCTTCAACTCTGAACATGACTCCAGTCTTATCATCTTAAGATTTGGTAGCCAGACTGTATCCATCGCATTTTCCTCTGCTTCTTTCTTGATAATGTACTCCATCATGGGACATCTTTTCACTGTTATATGTTCCAATTGCACAAGTTCCAAGGCCATGGAAACGGTAAATATGTATTTCAAGCTATTACATTCCTCGACTTCTAAATCTTGTAGGTTCTTGAAATCTACACTTTTCTCCTTCCATATTTCCATTGACTTGGAAAATTCGGATAGGATCAAATACCCGTTGCCTTGGTACCCAACCTTCATAAAGTAATCAAACAGAGAAACAAGGGTTAAAGTTCATAAAGGATTAAAGGTCACCTAAAACAAGACGAAAGAAAGAAAGCAAGAAATTATGAATACCTTTTTTGAATGCAATTGTTGGACAGTGCTGTCAAGGTCACCACTCCAATGTTCTTTACCTTCTCCATATTCTACACTTTGCAACAACGGCGCATTTAAAACTCCCTTACAAAATATCTCCAGCTCAGGACAGCCACTCACTATCACTTCCTCTAAACATGGGTGTCGTAACCGGTTTTCGTCCGGGCACGAAATATTTATTTTGGCGGGGAAATTGATGTGAATAAATGGTTTTGAAAATAATTTGGGAGTCGCCATCGGCCTTTTGGGTCAGGTAGGTCGAATACCTAAAAAATATCTTTTAAAAGAGTTTTTAAGAAAACATCAATTAAAAGATAAACTGATCTGCGTTTTAACCAAAAATTCATTCTTTTTAATAATAAAAAGGGATTCGTGGTCGGTTACGTTTAGGGAAGGATTAGCACCCCTACAACGCCCAAAATTGGTACTTTTTAATTATAAATTGTCTCTATTATTAGAAGAAAAAATTTCGAATATATTTAATTCATAATCTTTTTATTTCAAATTTATAATTTTAAGAAAATATATTAATATATAAATAAGATATTTATTTATTTAGAAATATCAGAAAAGGGCTTCTAGGTACCTTAAGACAGCTCTTTCCTTTTATATTAATAAATAAAAACGTAATAAAACTAAATTATAATTTTTATAATAATTAGTTTTAAAATACCAAAATAGGACATCCAGTTGTATTAAGACTGCCCTTTTCTTTAATATGGAAAATAAATAAACATTATTAAATAAATAATATATATTTATAATATAGTAAAACAATAATTAAAGTAATGATTTAAATATATTAAAATAATAAAAATTAAGTAAAAAAATAACTAAACAATGACTATAAATAAATAAAATAATAATAAATGTAAAATTATTTAAAATAATGAACATAACTTGAATCATCATAAAATAAAATTACTAATAGTGTAATTAATCCTTAATTAATTAATCGTTGATTAAAATAAAATTTATCAAAGTTTAAAGGCTCTATCTCGAATAAATAAAAACTTTAAGTGCTAAAAATGTAATTTAGCCTTATTTAATTAATCGGATTAAAATAAATGTTAATAAAATTATAAGGTACTAAATCAGTTATTTACCCTAAATATATATATAAACTGATAATGACTAAAATGTAATAAAATAAAATTGAATGACATAATTAAAAGAATCAAAATTTGCTTCCAGTGACTAATTTGTAATGTTATAAACTCGGAGTGACTGCGGAAAGGGTTTACCCATGATGGAAATTACACAGATACCCTCCCCAGAACGACGTCGTTTGGGGAGGGTTTTAAATACCCTAAACGCCTGGCCCGAAGGGCCAAGCTTCTCATTTGCCTATTTCCATTCTCTCTCAAAACGAGAGAACCAGAGTTCTCTCTGGTTTCTCTCTAGTTTCCCTCGCCGGAGGGAAACCGGCAGCCATAGGCCACCGTACTTCGCCGCCGACCACCGCCGCCGGCCACCGTAACGGTGGTCGGAATTCACCAAAAACACCCCCAAAGCGTAGATCTAAACGCCCTAAGACCGATTCCGGTCTTTGTTTTCCCTAAAAGACTCCTAATCGGAGTAAATCTACGAAAATACCTTCGGTATTTTCTGTTCTCCGGCGATGTATAGTGCTTCCGACGGTGGTCAAGGCTCCAAGGGTAAGTTTCTTTCTTCTTTCTTTGCTTTCTGTTTTGGTTTTATGTTGGTTGTGGGTTCGTTGGTAGCTTTCTGTCTTCCCTTTTTTTTTCATTTTCTTTGCTGGATCTCTCGTTTCTCTCGTGTTCTCCGTTGCTCTCTGTCCTTGCTTTTTTTTTTGTTTTGCAGGTTCAGTGGTGGCTTTTATAGCCACCACAGTGTACTCCTCGGACCGGTCCGATCTAGCATCTTTGGTGAGTCACCAAGCTATGGCTGTGACTCACCATAGAGCACTGATTTGGTGAGGCAGCTGGCTTCTGGAAAGCTCGACGAGGTCGGCGTCGTGGAAGCAGCAGCGTCGGCAGCAACTGGTTGGACCATCTGTCATCAGAGAGTCGGTCGTCGGGGTGGCTTCAGGGGTGGCGCCGCATCTGGAAACGACTGGCTGCTAGGGTTAGAAACCCTAGGGTTTTCCATCTGGAACCCTTTTGGGCCGTTGGATCTTGCCAGATCCAACGGCTGATGATGTTGACGGCGGCTGGGGGTTAGGGTTTGAAAACCCTAGCTGAAACCCCAAATTGATTCAGGGTTTCCATTTGGGTTTGGGATTTGAATGTAATTGGGCTGTGATTTGGGCTTTGTAATATTTAAATAATAAATAATATTACTATTAATAATAATAATAATAATAATAATAATAATTTTAATAATAATAATTTAAAATGAAAAAATTGATTTCTACAGCTGCCCCTCTTTGCTCATTCTTGTGTTAACAAGAATAGAGCAAAGACGAAAAAGACAATAATTTTTTCATTTAGCTTATTTTGAGTAGGATGGAAATGTTTGAAAACATCATGCACTGAAGGACTTACAGATGACCCGAAGGCTTTGAAAACATCAAAAAGCTCCCGAAGGCTTTTTGAAAACATCATGCACTGAAGGGCTTACAGATGACCCGAAGGATTTGAAAACATCAAAAAGCTCCCGAAGGCTTTTTGGAAACATCATGCACTGAAGGACTTACAGATGACCCTAAGGCTTTAAAACATCAAAAAGATCCCGAAGGCTTTTTGAAAACATCATGCACTGAAGGGCTTACAGATGACCCGAAGGATTTGAAAACATCAAAAAGCTCCCGAAGGCTTTTTGGAAACATCATGCACTGAAGGGCTTACAGATGACCCGAAGGATTTGAAAACATCAAAAAGCTCCCGAAGGCTTTTTGGAAACATCATGCACTGAAGGACTTACAGATGACCCTAAGGCTTTAAAACATCAAAAAGATCCCGAAGGCTTTTTGGAAACATCATGCACTGAAGGACTTACAGATGACCCTAAGGCTTTAAAACATCAAAAAGATCCCGAAGGCTTTTTGGAAACATCATGCACTGAAGGACTTACAGATGACCCTAAGGATTTAAAACATCAAAAAGATCCCGAAGGCTTTTTGGAAACATCATGCACTGAAGGACTTACAGATGTGGGAAATAGTTTACTAAGTAAGAAACTATGAAAATTGTTTTTTTTTTACTATTCAACAATTTCATTTTCAGAAAAGATTGAATGAGAAACTATGGAAATCGTTTTCTCATTATTTTTTTGAAATAACATGTTGATTGGGTAACATGCCCCAATTTCAAGATAATTTTCATTCTTGTGGATTGCATCCATCTCTTCTTCACTTGATTAATATGGAGATGTTGAATAAATTCTTCTCTTTCTTCAGAAGAGTTCTTCTCATTATGAACTTTCCGCTGGGGATGATGTTGACCTATTTCCTGTGATAGAGTCATTCAAAAGGTTGAATAAGCTCTTGATGAGTTCTTCTCATTATGAACTTTCTCTAGAAAGGCTGATGCTAATCTATCTCCTTCTGTGATAGAATTATGCAAAAAGTTGAACAAATTCTTCTTATTATGAACTTCTTCTTACTTCTTCAGATGAGTTCTTCTCATTATGAACTTCTCTGGAAAAGCTGCTCCATCAAGTGATGGATTTGAGCAAAAGGTTGAACAAATTCTTCTTATTATGAACTTCTTCTTCCTTCTTCAGATGAGTTCTTCTCATTATGAACTTTCTCTGGAAAAACTGATCCATCAAGTGATGGATTTGAGCAAAGGTTGAACAAGCTCTTCTCATTATGAACTTTTTCTTCCTTCTTCAGATGAGTTCTTCTCATTATGAACTTTTTTTTTTTTTTTTTTTGGAAAAGCTGATCCATCAGAAGATGGATTTGAGCAAAAGGTTGAACAAATTCTTCTCATTATGAATTTCTTCTTCCTTCTTCAGATGACGAGTTCTTCTCATTATGAACTCTTCCTGGCAATGTTGATCCATCAAATGATGAATTCAAACCAAAAGGTTGAACAAGTTCTTCTCATTATGAACTTCTTCTTCTTTCTTCAGATGAGTTCTTCTCATTATGAACTTTTTCTGGAAAAGCTGATCCATTAGATGATGGATTTGAGCAAAAGGTTGAACAAATTCTTCTCATTATGAATTTCTTCTTCCTTCTTCAGATGAGCTCTTCTAATTATGAACTTTTTCTGGAAAAGCTGATCCATCAGATGATGGATTTGAATCTTTGCTAAAATTTTGAAATTCCTGTCAAATATTCAACATGGATAAAATGAATGAAAATGCTCCTATTTTGCAAATGTCTAAATATGATGCATGAATGTTGATGCAATCTTCATTTGACTTCAAAATGGTGAACTCGATTTTCCTCCACTTCATCATTTATTGCCAGGGTCACCTCTGGATATCAGTGTAGCAACTTATGCTATCAAGCTTGCATTTCTGAAGAACTATCTGATCAACTTGTATCTTTATGTATTCTTTGCTTCATGAAAGTCTCAGAAGAATTGTTTTATTTGTGGAACTCTTGTCGTAGTCAGAATTATGACCTTAATGCCCCCTTTTGTCTTGGATAAAACCAACTTTATTTGCTTGGATTTGTGTGTAAATCCCATAAAGCTTTCATCTTTAAAAAGAGAATCTATCATCTTTGAAGAGTGTAGATGTAGATATGCCTGACTCAGCAGGGATTAATTAGGAGAGTAGAGTATGTTCTTATTTAACTCTTGAAACATCACAAGGAAGATTTATTCCAATTCCTTTCATGTCTCCACATATAATCAGATCTCGAATAAGGCAACTTGGACTAATATCATGTCGAGATACTTAACAACAACATGTAGTTCAACCTTAGTTGACCCCATTAGTTTCTTGTTTAAAATTTCAACTTTCCTTGGAAAGAAATCTTCATTATATCTCACTTTTAATCTTGGGGTTGAAAAAGACAAACTTCATCTTAGATCAATAAATGAAAACCATATGATCGTAACATTGGTTCAGCATCAGAATAGCAGGTTCGTAAAACATTGGACAGTGCATTCATCCTTTCCTGTGGCTTCTGCTCAGATGTTCGTAAAACATTTGACAACACATTCATCCTTTACTGTGGCTTCTGCCAAGATTTCTCAATCATGTAAGCTCTTTGCCTA